TCAGCAAAGATAATGTAGCCCCCCGGGGTCATGTAGACGCCCGTTATCATCACTATAGAGATAAACTCTAGAGCGATGGCCTGAAAATGTTGGTGATTCTTATGTTGCAACAGCATGACTTCCTTCCAATCATTGGTCTACATCTGTAATAGATGAGCCATATGGAAGTTCTCGCGGGTCATGTAGACCTGCAACTGACTCAAAAAGTGTGTCTTTGTCCTAGAAAATTTCAAAACATTTGGGAGTGAGTAACTAGACACGACGTGATCAATGAAAGTTCAGTGGCATGGAGCTGAGGCCACTGTAGTCAATATCACTTGCCTCAGAAGGAGACAATAATGAGAGACGCGGTTCCCCGTGAAAAATGATTAAACACCTGTCTGTTGGGAGACAAGTGAGTGGTCTTGGGTAGGGTTAAGAGTGCACTGTTGGACAAGATGCACTGACTTCTACCCGGGATCTGAATAAATTTTGTCCTGAACCTATTGGGATTGTCCAGAGTATTTGAGTGGCTAGGAGTAAATGTGCAATACATAGCACACAATTGAGGTAGCAGACTCATAATTGATTATTGTTTTCTTGCTCACTTGAGCCTTCTGCTTCCAAACTCTTATAATGATTACTCACTCACTCACTCACTTACTCTCGGCGTTGTCCCTTGGGTAGGCTTAGTTGGGTTTACTAAGCCACAGGAACATGTTCTCTCATTGATTTTCTCTCCGTACTCCCCCTCAACTGGGGCTCTCGGTATGCTTTGTCATTGTTAGGCACCGGGGAGGATAACATTGAACACTCCCCCTAAAATGTTGCATCCGTTGAGAGATTCCTTGCTTTGTCGGTGTAAGGTGCCAGGAGGAGAAAACTGAAACCCCCCCTCAGAATGTACAAGGTTTGATTGCTCACAGCTCGTCATACCCGCCATGTGTGTGGAGCAATCCGAACAAGTACCACACATGACGGTTTGCCTAACCTCATCATTTAGAATTTTAGAACGTTTGAGGATCACACAATGTTGATGGGTTAGGGGAGGCTTCAGTAGTTGATTGTTGATTGTTGTAAGATGACCGTTGACGCGAGGTTGATTGAATTATCTATGATTTTCGGACCTCTACAATAGTGTGTAGAAAAGTTTTGACCTCAGGTTGGACTTTGGAAGAATTTGAACAGATTTGCCTAAGTTTTGACCTGGACATCGGTGATTTACAAAGTTTGTCGGAAAACTAACGTTTTGACCCTCAAGGATTGCGTGTGAGGGCGCGTGAGAATGAGTTCTGGGGCATAGCCCGAGAAAAATGTAGATCTTTTCGTTAGCTTTCCAACAAAAAACAGTTTGCTAAAATCGGATCACCGAGTCAAAAGTTATGGCAAAAACAGTGCGATGTCACAGAAAATCTCGAATTTTGAGTTTTTGAGCAAATTCTTCGAGGTTGAGGTTCTCGATGTTGAATTTCGAGAGCAGGTGAAATTAAACAAAATTCTAAGGGAAAAACGCGAAATCCTTATCTCGAGGTTTAAATCTCGAGATTTTAATTTCGAGTTTGCCTTGAAGAGTAATGTCGAAATCTACCTGCAAAACAAACCTCAGAATATCGAAATCTTCAAAATTTCAAAATGTTTGGAGTATCGAAAACTTTGGAGTTTCGAAAACCTCAGAAAATCGAAAACTTGTTGTTTGAAAAATATAAGAACATCGAAAACTTCTAAAAACTTTGATAAGCAGAGATTAATTGAGATATCCTATAATGTAAAGCTTCGATGAACTGCGAAGAATGTCAAGTTTCGAACAATTCTGAGTTTCAAGAAACTGTAAACTTTGAAATATTCAAAACATCGAGAAATTCCAAAAATCTCAAAATCTTTTAGAAAGTCGAAATCCTAAACACCGAGTTCCTAAAACTCGAAATTCCAAAACTCGCAATTTTAAAACTCGAAATTTTAAAACTCGAAATTTCAAAACTCTCAATTTTAAAACTCTCAATTTTAAAACTCGCAGTTTTAAAACTCGCAATTTTAAAACTCTCAATTTTAAAACTCTCAATTTTAAAACTATCAATTTTAAAACTCTCAATTTTAAAACTGTCGAGTTTAGGAATTCGATACCCTAAATGTCGAGTTCCTGCAAAATGAAAACTTCGAATTTTGAGAATCTGAAAACTGTTCTGAATAGCCCTGAAGGTCGAGATTCCTCCTGTATCTGTTTCAAGTCAAAATCGTTTCTGCAGCCATGTAAAAGCATAAACTCGAGATTTCATATAGAGTTCTTCGAAATTGAAAGTTTGCATAAATCGAAAAAGAGGATATGTTGCTAGATCGGTATTGAAAGACGATTCCAACAGTATAATTTTTACAGATTTTCGTTCACAAACAAGATTACAGGAGCAAAACTCTATATTAAAGATAAATAGAAGAAAAGCAGAGCAGTTCTTTGTAAGATAAGAAAAATCGCAGATACATTCAACCTGATTCACGCCTCGTCTCTGATACCAATTGATAGTCCCAAAACTTAACAATCAAACAATCATAACAGGTAAAGAAGAAGCAGATAAAAAGATATAGAGATAATCAAACGAATCTGGTATACCGTGTAGAACGCTGCTGCTCTCCATCGAGAGAGAGAGAGCAGCGGAAAACATAATCTCTCTATCTTTGCGTCTCTACTCTCTAAAGCCTCAATCGTTAGGGTTCCCGTAAGTTAGCCTCCTTTTATAGGAGAAGTTGACTAACTTACGGGTTACAAAGAAGCTAACGGGCTGATACACATTTGTGACCCGTATTACACATTTAATTAATAACTACACAAATACAAAGATATTTAATTAGATTGGACACCATAAAATATTGCTAACAGATATAAATAAAGCGTTTGTTCAAAAATTTGAGAAGCGTTTTCTTAACACAATATAAAAAGTTCATAGTACTAAAAATATATTGTATTTTAGTATAAATTTAATCTTTAAATTTAAAAGTTGGAGTGCTAATCAAAATAAAATTTTTGATTTTTTATGGAGTATTATAAAAAAAGAATATAATTTTGCAGCAATCTTGCCCTAGTCACAAATTTTGGTTCTTTAATACTTCAAATTAATTTTTTGAATGGAAATTGCTTATGTTGAAATTAATAAACCAACACCATTAGAATAGATTCAAGGTAATACTAGCCTCGGTCTAGAGCTCAATGATTAGATTTAGATTGTCACTCACAAATGAATCACAAAGATCGCTAACTATGTAACTGAAAAATGGGAGCTTAATTTGATCATGCCGATCGACGATCGTTATGCTTCTGATGATGAATTGATATGAAAAAGCTACAATTTGTCTATGAAATTTAAAAAGAATGAACAATAAGTAATAAAAAGTGCATAATAAATAAGAGAAATCGTAAAAATGGTTCGACCTAGACATCAATGTCTAATCATGTAGTTGTATGTAGTGCCCTCACTAGATTTCACCGGATTTCGTGCATAGCATGCAAAACACAAATCAATGGTGGTGGTTTGGAAAGGGGATGAGCCATAGACGATTTGATAAAAAGATAACTTCTGAGAAAAACGGGTCTATGACTGAAACAATATCTTCAATAGTAAGTAAACAACACTATAGCATCATGGAGCAACTCGCGTCGATAATTTGAAAAAAACCACCAATAAAACGATTGTTAAAATTGACAGAATTGTAAGAATCCTAAAAATGGTCACCGATCATGCGAGCTCCAAATCATTTTTAGTCAATTTTAAATAATGAAGAGGATGACATGGGCGGGAAGGGTTTACTCTGCCGCCCATACTGTCAACTCTAGACTGTTGTTCTATTAAATACTTCTACCCCCGTCTCCCTAAGGTTGAGAGAAGAGGGAGTAGGGTGATTTTTTAAAAGAGTGGAATTGTGTGGTTGATATTAAATTCATAAAATGTAAATAGAGTAAGAATAAATTGTAACTAGCCAAATATTATCAAATATATTATGAGACAAACTTAATGTGATAGACGAAAAAGATAAAATGGGACAAAGATAGGAGGACGAAGGGGGTACTTCAAACTAATTAAGAAATAACACTTCAAACTAATCTAAAAATGGACAATACTTTCCGTTTAGATAACGGAAAATTCCAAAATAAGAGCAAAAATGTTATGAAATTTCAAAATAGGAGTACTGTATTTTCCTCCCTGAATATGAGTAATTACTACAAGGTTAGAAAGTAATACCATTTTAAAGTCTGATGATGCCAACACATGGCAATTATTACTCATATTTCGGCATGAACCGAGACCAGATCCGGTTTTCTCGGTTTCGAGCCTATGACCGACCCTATACAACCATGATGGTTATTCGGTCCCAATTTACTGATTTTGGGACCGAAGCAGGCGATCCTGGTTTTGGTCCAGGCAGACAAAAAAATAATTCTGCTTAGGTTTTAGCCTTGAAATCGGGCAAAAAAATTAATGAAACTGAATCCAGAATCTGGACCTGGATCGACCGAGTATCCGGAACCGGAAATAACCAAATCGGATTCGGTCTTCAATGAAATTTGGCAAGCACTAGGCAATCTCGGCTCGGAACCGGGCAAACCTGAGTAACTGAGTTCATGTTTTAGTACTTCTATTTTGTTATTCCAAAAGATCTTTGCTCTCGGAAATTGTTGTTTTAAAAAATTTTGCTAAATAAGAGTAAAAACGTTTAATTCTTAAACAAGACTATTACTTAGTATTTATTCTGTGTCGTTAAGATTGTATCATATGTTATCTAAATCATTTTTACTTTATTACTCCCTTCGTCCCGAAAAGGTTGACCAAATTTTCTTTTTTAGATGTCTCAAAAATTTTTGTCATTTCCATTTAAAGTAAAGAATATGTGGCTAAAATTAATTCTCTCTTCTCTGCACAAATTTCAACCACACAATTTTTACTTTATTAATTCAAGTGAAAGTTAACTTTAGCCATCTTTTTCGAAGGAAGAGAGTATTACTTTATTAATTGAATATCAAACACATCAACTAACAGTTTTCTTTTGTTCGGGGAATTTTCTCTATCTTTTTTTATGAAGGAAATGGTGTCTTAATGCCTTGATGGGAACAAATGCACTGAAGGTGTGACAAGTTCACGTGTAATTAATGAAGCCTATTGTCCAGAAAAGAAGTTACGGTGTACGAGTCTGCTACGGGAAACGAATGGCGGGCGTTTCAGTGCTCAGAGGCGTCGCTCATGGACGTTCATCTCTTCTTCACCGCTCTCAGGTATAATTATTCTCTATAACCTAATTGAATACCCAACCCACAATTCGTACATTTTTTTCCAAAAAACTTTGTGAATTTGGATGTAGTTCCCGACTTTCAGCAGCTCAGAGAAGTCAATAAAGTTTCGGTATCGATATCGCCAAACTGGGATTACTGCTTTTGCTCGGTACTCGCAGGCCCATGAGATTTTTACCTCTCGTGTTCAAGGTTAGTCTCTTGAATAACTATGTCAAACTATTGATGGAAGTCTTATCATAATTCCACCGATTACTTTAGATAGAGTAGCTTCATTACTGGAAGTCTGCATCAGTATAAACTAAGTAGCACAGTCTCAGCACGGAAACGGGAAACGTGAGGGAACACTACAAACGTAATTTCTAAAAAATATACTCCGTATAGGATATGAAACGTGGGGAAACACATAAATATTAAAAAAACAAGGGGGTTTATAAATATATCTTCATTTATGTACCCAGTTTTTTTCATTTATATATATACGCACATGAGTTTTTCAAATAACTTGTTTGGTAACCCAATAATAAAAACATTCTATATGTTCAAATTTGGAAATCATTACATGTTAGGCTAAAAAACAATATGCATGTAGCTTACCCTATGATTTGAATGAACTGTCATGAAGAAAACAATAAAGTTATCCATCATTCTTTTGGACAAAATATGTCTGTAAGCATTTCAGCATTTGTAAGAAATGTTGTCTAACATCCTCAAAATTGTTTTATGCAGATCGTCTTGAGAACTTTCCTATTCTTGTAGAGGATGTTGTTCAGACGTCCATAAATACAGGTCCGCGTGGAGCTTTAAGGCTTGCCCAAGGTATCCAAGCTGTAATTGGGGTTGGTAGTGAGTGGCTAGCTGATGTCTCAAAGGTGTTCTTGACTATGCACTGATGCTTAGGCGTGTTTGCTTAACATGATCAACTTTATTTATATGATTTAGATCTTATGAATATTTGAAGTATGCATTATTTCCATGGTTCCCATGTCATCATCTAGGCAACAACTAGTTGATGCTTAGGCATCCAAGCAGTGGAGAAAGCTTGTCTGGGTAGGTCGCCTTGTCTGAAGAGCGATGGAATTGAAGTACACCGCTTAGATACTCATTAGGCATTTTTTGGTGACACCCTGAATTGAATTGCTCTCAAAATCCTGATAAAGAAAAACCTCAAGTAAATGCCGATGTGGCTTTTGCTATCTCCGAAGTTTGCCTTTTGTGTCTTCCCTTATCCTCTTATCAGCTTTTCATCTGGGGGGACTATATCGGCCTCCACGTCCTCCAAAAAGATCAAAAGATAAACAAGTTCAAAAATAACAAAGGACCACAAGCCACGGACGTCCTCAAACATGTGATCCACCGTCGGCCAAAATGACAAAGACGCCACGGACGTCCACTTTCGGCCAAGTCAAAAGCACAGAGGGCATTCATCATCCTCAAAAACCATGGACGCACAACGACCATTGAAAGAACCTCCATCGTCCTCAAAATGAAGAATATCCATCGTCCTCAAGATGAAGAACATTCATCGTCCTTGAAGTGAAGGATGTTCCTCGTCCTCGAAATGAAGGACGTTCCTCGTCCTCGAAATGAAGGACGTTCCTCGTCCTCATAATGAAGGACGTTCCTCGTCCTCGAAATGAAAGACATTCATCATCCTCGATATGAAGGACATTCATCGGCCTCGAAATGAAGGACATACATCGTCCTCGAAACGAATGACACTCATCATCCTCAAGATAAAGGACATCCATTTTCCTCGAAATGAGGGACAAAAAGGCAGCCAACAACTATGGCACCGCCTTTGGCCAGAAACGTCAGAACTCCCAGGTAATCCTCCGAAGGCCAAAAGCATCAAGACAACAAGGATCTACTCTCTTTCACTTCGTCTGCGTGTCGGCTCAGAGAGTGGGGGACTCCTGATGGAGTATATGGGTCCAGACCCCATGACCCACATACTTCCACTAGCTACATGCAAGACCCCGGGGACATACAACGTCAAGCACAAGGAACACCCCGGGGACGTACGGCCTCCGACACATGGATCACCCTGGGGACGTACGGCCTCCAGCACATAGGAAGGCCCCGGGGACGTACAACCTCCAACCCGTAACGGTCACCCGGGGACGAACAACCTTCAGCACTTCGTCAGCCAGACGTACGTCTCTAAGGACTTTGTCTGCCACAACCAGACGTACGTCTCCAAGGACTTCGTCTGCCACAGCCAGACGTACGTCTCCAAGGACTTCGTCTGCCCTAGCCAGACGTACGTCTCCAAGGACTTCGTCTGCCCCAGCCAGACGTACGTCTCCAAGGACTTCGTCTGCCACAACCAGACATACGTCTCCAAGGACTTCGTCTGACGCAGCCAGACGTTCGTCTCCAAGGACTTCGTCTGCCATAGCCAGACATACGTCTCCAAGGAATTCGTCTGCCCCAGCCAGACGTACGTCTCCATGGACTTCGTCTGCTATACTTCCATACCTAGCTCATCTATCCGAATGTAAATAGAGGTCTTATATTGTAATGGGCCTCCCAAGCCCAAGACTTGGGAGTCTAGCCCGCTTTTCCCTATAAATACTCCCCTTGGGAGTATTTAGCTCTCAAGGGTTCGAAAAATCATTAATACAAATCACTTTTCTCTTTAGCTCTCACTTCTCTCTAGACGTATAGTCTATCATCATCTTTGTCTGTTTTTGTTTCTTATTTATTTGGGCAGTTTAATTTTCTTTTCTTTTTTTTTAATTTCATTTCTTTAGATGACACTACGGCAGTCATATGAATCGTGTCAGTGCCTTTTACTAAAGTTTTGTTTTTTAGTTTATTGAAAAAGGATATTAAGCTCTTTTTTTAATTAAGTTGGTTCATTAGTAATTGATATATTGTTATATTCGAGTATTGCATAAGGTCACTTGTCGTTAGGCGGCAGTCACCTAGGCGACAATGCAATCCACTTGCACCGCACCTAGCATAGAAGCCACAACAAAATTGACTTAGCTAAAAGGTTAAATGGTCCTTGAGTATGGCAGCATACCATTATAGATATATAATTATGGAGATTACATGGCTTTTGAAACAAGGGCTTATTTACTTACTCTAGTATCATACTAAATTACTCCATCCATGTTCTAGAAAAACTAAGGGTTATTGAGTATTTTTAAAGGGAAAACTTACTAAAAAGGGAAAGTGTAGCAAATAAAAGAATATAGACGGAGTACTAATTACCAAAGTTTGTACTCTAACTCAAGTAAAAACATAACTTTCAACTAAAATTAATTAATTTACAATATACATGAAGGGTAACAGTCTTGCAGACAAGGATCACAACTGGTGTGAGTGTGTGACAATACATCTTGGTGTTTTGGTGTACTCGCCTTATTTTGCCTGAAGATGGGTAGTCAATAGTCATTAGATGAATAAAATGAATTTGGAATTTGATCAAATTGTTGTTAGAATAGCTCAAATTGACCCACCCTTCTTTTTCTCTTACGTATATCTCAACCATTGGATCCAGAGTATCGTCAGTGTCTTTAATACTGATTGTAATACCTTTTGGAGCATAACAATTACGAGATACTAATTCTCTGTATCTTTGTATAGACAGCGAACTCACCGACTGGACTACCAAGAGAGATGCAGCTTGGATTATTATCTCCCATATATTTGAGGAAACTTTTTGAGCGGATGGGTGCAACATATATTAAGTTGGGGCAGGTAAAGTTGTGTGCTTTAATTTTCTTAGAGAATTGTAACTAGAGCAAGTGTTTCTTGCTAATGTTGATATTCTCATCATGCATTATGGTGGATGACTTATGTGCCGCAATGTTTATATGATGAGACTCAAGTTACTATTTTCTTGATCATTCATACACTTGACTTGTGATTACATAACTACTTAATGATTTTGAAATTGCAGTTTATAGCATCTGCTCCCACAATATTTCCACCGGAATATGTTCAAGAATTCCAGTGCTGTTTGGACAGGGCTCCTCCAGTCCCGTTCAAAGAAATTCAAGGAATCTTGCGTGAGGAACTAGGCAGGCCAATTGATGATGTTTTTGATTATGTTGATCCTACACCAATCGCATCTGCATCTATAGCACAAGTTCTCTCTCTCAGTCTCTCTTTCTCTCCTTTCTTCCTTCCTTCCCCCCTCCTTAGAGGTCCTATTTTTGATAATTAAGTCCTTATTACTGGTGAGAACTATTGATGTGATGAATGACTCAAACTAAAACATATCCAATTTCCAGGTGCATGTAGCAAGGATAAAAGGCTCTCAGGATGATGTTGTGATAAAGGTCTTGAAACCTGGGATAGAAGATATTATAGTGGCTGATCTGAATTTCGTATACATAGTGGCACGTATTTTGCAGTTCTTGAGTCCTGAATTAGACCGTGCATCTCTGGTACAATGCAGATAAACTCTTTTTGCTGACAGTTCATGTGATCTGAATTTCGTATAACTCTTTTAAGTTATTGAGGGACAGTTCATTGCTGAAAGTTTTTTAACAGTTTAGTTCAATTTATGGAATTTCTGACTTGTCATATGGTAACCTGAGTCATTTGCAAACTCCTTAATGCATTCAAGTGTTCAGAAATGTCTTTTCAGTTGGCTAATGAAACATCGCATTTATATTCATATATTTTATTTACCATCTTTTATAGGTTGCAATTGTCAAAGACATAAGGGAGTCAATGCTTGAAGAAGTTGACTTTACTAAAGAGGCTGCAAATATTGAAGCGTTTAGGAGATACCTAGAGACTATGGGTCTAACTAGGCAGGCTAAAGCACCAAGAGTGTACCAGCAGTGCAGCACACGTCGAATCCTGACAATGGAGAGGCTTCATGGAGTTCCACTTACTGATTTAGACTCAATAAGCTCACTTGTTCCTAATCCTGAGACCAGCCTTATAACTGCCTTAAATGTATGGTAGGGTTCCAGTCATAACTTCACAGTTATTATACAATAACACTGGTAAGGATGTGGAAAATCGTTGGGGAGGAAAAAATGTTATGAAAATATAATTTTATGCGTGTTTGGTTTCACCTTGGAAACTATGATGGAAAGCTAAACATGGTTAAAAGTCTTAAAACTTATAATTTATAAGTTATTATTATTTACATATATTTATATTTCTTGGTCTTGATATAATACGGAGTACATGTAATGAGTTTACAGAAAGATCTGATCTGATTATTTAGTTGGAAGCACTTTTTCTTTCTTTCCTTCAGAATTTCCCCTCTATTTTCCTCCCCTTTTCTTCCCATATCATTTTACCCGTTCCAACATGACCTTAAAAGTTATGTTCTTCTCCATGGTGTTTGAAGGTTTGGAAGCTTGCTTGCCTGTGAGTCCTTCCATGCTGATGTACATGCTGGCAACTTGTGGGTTCTACGTGATGGCCGCATTGGTTTTCTTGACTTTGGTATGTTTCTCCTTGGACATCTTTATTGCACCCAAGAGAACTTGTATGCTCCATCCCAAAAAAGTCTTTTTTGAGTAAGCTAGAACTTTTTATTTGTGATCAATTTAATCAAGGTAGAAGCTTTAATTTTCAAATTATGAATTATCATTTGTACCCTACAACTTATTTCCACGTTTGTCTGGACTCTGGAGTAATTGACTAAACCCGCTTGCTATTTTTGTTAACAAAAGTTGAATTTTGAAACCAACTCATTTTTGGAAAAAATGGTTCTTGAAACATGATTTTGTTGTGAGTCGGAAGGAGCATTTTTTAAGCCATTTATGGACAAGTATTGTGTAGGAGGGCATAACAAGATATGGGGTCTGCACAGGAATTGTTGGTCGCATATCTCCTAAAACGTGGGCTGGTATGGAAATGTTTTTAACATCAATGGGAACCAAAGAATATGATGCAATGGCTTCTGGCTTAATTGACATGGGAGCTACAGGCAATGATGTGGATGGAAAGGCCTTTGCAAGAGATCTTGAGAAGCTATTTTCATCAATTCAGGTACACAGTTACACTAGGCTTGAGTGCTTTGTTAGGGTTTCCCATTTCAAATTCAGTTCTTTAGTATTAACTCTTGTCAATTTGTCATGTAAGGTGTGGGAGGGTGGGATGATTTTTGAAAACCATCCATTTCACCTAAATAAGCATTTCAGACGCTACTTTTCTTGCTTATTCTGCCAAACAAGCTGATAAGGCTACCAAATGGACAAAATCATGATAGTCAAGATGATAACAGGCTAACAGCTGTGTACTATGAAATTGGAGCTACTGGAAAATAAAGTGCATTAGTAGTTAATATGCAGCAATCATTTTCTGAAAGATAATCGCTGTTCAGAGCACTGTATCTAGACATCAATTAGGCTGGTCTAAGCCAAATAGCCAATACTTGCAAAGTAATTTTTATGATGTTACTGTTTGACACAATCATACTGTTGTTATTTAGGAATTGGATACAGAAATAGTTGTTACAGCAGCACGGGACACGAAGACAAGAGCAACCGCCATGTCTGCAAATGTAGCTTTTGACCAGAGACAAATGAACACTCTTTTTCTTGATTTGGTATTGATTTTTTATAAGACAATACTTGTTTAGAAATTATGTAGGTTTTACTTTTAAGTTTTAAGTCTTTATTAGGGAGTATTATTTAAGCATGGGCGCGTTATAATCCATACCATACTGGTTCTTGTGACCTTGAACAGGTTCGAGTTGGTGAGTCTTACGGGTTGAGATTTCCTCGCGAGTTTGCACTTTTGATGAAGCAGATACTATATTTTGATAGATACACCAGGTTGTTAGCTCCAAACTTGAACATGCTTCATGATCAGCGGATCAACATTGCCCAAAGTCATGGAGAACAAAGAATCATATAGCACCAACTGCTTGCTCTCATTGTAGATAAATACTCTGATATCAGTATATCACATTCCAATTGACATGGTACAAAGGAAAAAACACAAGATCAGTAATACCTGGTAATGTATTCAAGTTTGTGTTGTAAGTTTTTGCATCTTAGTCATCTCTAATATGGTGTTTATGACACGTTTGGTACTCGTTTTCAAATTCCCTGCTTTGGTTTGGTACGTGTTTGGTACTTCGAAAGGCTAAAAGTAAAAAAGGCTGAGAATGGGTACAAAGAATAGTGATTTAAATTGACAGAATAATCCCAAGTTTAAAAGTTACACCAATTGACTTTTAAAAGAGCGTAGTATTAGACAAGAACTTAGACTGGGCTCAGACCAAACCTTAGTTGGCAGTCTCTTACGTTACTGATCGCTCTCACTTCATTCCTGGATTAATACTCTAAGAGGGTGTTTGGAGGAACTAAATTGGGCTGATCAGCCTGAAACTCCAAAAAAACACCAAACGATCATTAAATGAGCTTATTTGGCTGATTTCTATTATCAGCTGAAAAATTAGCCTTGGAGCTACTTTAGTTAAATATTTCTATTTTTTCTGTTAAAGGACACTTCTATCCTCTTTAAAGCAAGCTGTCAACAAGTATGGGCTATCTGGCTACCGACTGGAATGTCTAAACCTATTGAAACTAATAGGAAATATGCAGGAAAAATTATTTGAAAACAACATGGTTAGTAAGTCGTAATGTAAAACTGGTGGTTGTTGTGCAGTTTTAGATTAAACAAATGTATTTTCTAAGAAAACTTTTAAGAACACATATATTGGTAAAACTGCTAACATACATATATTTAAAATACAAAGAAAGTAATACCCTTTTGGTAATTATACATTCAATCGGTCAATTCAGTCAAAATATAAGTATATAACCAAGCACTTTCAGCACTTTCAGCACTTTCAGCCATTGCAGTCATTACCAAATAGGCTCTAAGTCTCTAATGATCCGAGTATCCGACAAAGACTTGTTCTGGAGGCTGAACCATTTGTGTTTACACCAACCGTTAGCATTATTCATTCGCATTACTTCTCCCAAGAATTTTAATTTATCTACTAAGTTATTAATCCAAAGTTTCAGAAGTATTACTTCTCCCATTTGTGTTTACAGAAGTACTAAGCTTATATAAATCTACAAAGTTCCAGAAGCCTCAAAACCCAAATTAGAGAACAAATTAAACATCTGCAAATTGACTTCTATTTCAGAATCATCTGGGGGTAGCTACAGATGACTCAACCATAGAAAGTATCCTCTTCTCTAACTCCTGTTTGCTGCCGCCCACCAATCTGTCCATCTGTCGGCCTTCTTTTAAGAAGATGAACGTCGGAGTAGCTTTGATATCCCATGAATTACTGAATTCCTGTCGTACCAAAACAATAATAGCCAGCAGTCATGTAAAAGGTTAACTTCCAGATACATAGCATCTTGGTAGGTAGGACAACATAATCACATTTACTTATTATATATACAGTCATTAATTAGTAGTTAAACTGATATGATTACCGCTAGATTGTCAACGTCAACAGTTAAAAATTTCACTGATGTGTACTTATCGGCGAGATCCCGGTATGCGGGTGCTGCTATTCTACAAGGATTGCACCATGATGCACTAAAATTTACCACTACCTGTACATATGTATGTGCACTGTTATGTAACACTATTAGAATTGAAGTACAAATTTATACAAAATGTAACACTGTAATAGGTGTTAACTTTGTCATCACTCAATCATCGTAAACCGCAAAGGCATAACATGATACTCACAATTTGGGCATTCTTGTTTGCCTGAGAAATTATCTCTTCCCAGTTGTCCACGTCAGTCACTAGGTGAACATTTCCACCAGCAAGCTCTGATGAACCTGGAATATTACCTTCCTCCTCTCTGCTTTGTCTGCATAACTGCAAGTATGCATATATGCATGACCAAAAACTTATTTCTTTGACCACAAAATTAGAATTGAAAGTATTAATCATTAATCAATCATTCGTAATTGTATTATTTTTATTAAATAACCTGAGCACAACACTGCCCCATGGATGATAAATAGCATAACCGCTCGAATTTGGGTTATAATCATTACACCCGTGACCTTGCTATATTCATTTTTGTTGAAAACCTCGTCAAAATTGTGATATAATACAGATTACCCATAATGCATATGTAGAATACATAATAAACAAATACTCCGTATATTTGTTAAACTAAGTTTAAATTCTTGAAAATATGTAAACATAATATTATCCTATAACACCCATCATCAACTAGAAACATCAATCTACATATTACAAATGCATACGTGATGAGTTCGATGCATGCAATTATGCAAACACTACTTTTAATTAATCATTTAATTCGGGAAAATAGGAGTTGCAAAATGCATTTGAAGAGACTTTAATTAGTGAAAATTAATTAATTAATTATTACGGAGTAATACTCTGTGTATGTTTGGAAATATATGGATGAGACGAAGCAGATGCGAACAGGGAAAAAATGGAGTATAATTATGACGTACCTAAAAGCATCACATTCATGCGAGGCGGAGATTTAACTGTTTCCGATCCAAAAAAATCGGCATACAAGATGGCCCAAAAACCCTTCCTCATATGTATACGAACCCTTTTAGGAAAATGTAAGGTGTATGTAGACTTTCATATAACCTTCAAATCTAAAAAAAAACTTGATTAGTAAACCAATTTTTGGAGGGGAGAAATGGCTATACATCCTAAAAAATATAGGCTAGATTATCTTTTTTGTGTGTGGCTAGATTAAGTTAATAACCCCCTTATTTTTAAGAATTTTTTTCTAAAATATTACTAATAAAAAGTCATGGACAAAAATGCGAAAATATGACTAAGAAACTTTTATTGACGACAATTATGTTCAAAGTTTACATTGGGGTGTTTGGTTAACAACCTATCAACCATTTTTTGGCTGATTAGACTGCTATTTGTTTTTTTTGACCAGATAATCCGCTAATTGGTGTGTTTGGTAAGTTGGCCTTTTCACTTGGCTTTTTATCTGAAACAATTAAAATGAAAAAAGCTGATAAAATTGGTGTTTACATACTGGCCATTTGAAAATTTCGTTGATATCCCTATTCTGCCCAAGGCATCTCCTCGTTCATGTGCCACTTGTACTTCTTCCGTTAATTAAAAAAGCACATCCGTGGAGAAAGTTTCTTCTTTAGTTACTACTGGCATTTCTCATCCGTTTTTGTTACCAATTATTTTTTCTTCACATAAAACCAAATCAAGTCTTTAAAAACAATAAATCATGATTTATTGATTCCATCATTTTGTTTCTCTCTCTCTCACACACGTATATACACGACATCGTCAGAAATTTGAGAGCTACTATTCTTGGACACTTAAAAAGTGTGTGGTGGATGATAGAAATATTTTGTACACTTTCAAGTTATTTAATAAAAAAAGTCATTTCACGTAACATTAATAAAATAATAATTATGTCCTTAAAAGTCATTAGACAAATTATCAGCTGATTTTAAACAGCCATTTAACTAAACATTATTTTACAAACTGCTAATACTATCGGCTAATCAAAACAGCCAGCAGAATCCACTATCAGTTAGGGGTGGACTCGGGTCCGGGCCAGGTCCGGGTCGGGCCTAGGCCCGGGCCGGCGGTTCAGGAATGGTGGACCCGGGATCGGCCCGGGAAGCCACCGGGTCCGGGCCAGGCCGGGCCTCCGATTTGTTTTTTTTTTTGCTTTCCTAACCCCCCCCCCTCACCCCCACCCTCCCAAACCCCTCAAACCCATCCTAACCATCAAGCCCAACCCGGGTGGAACCCCAAAAATGAAAAATAAAATAAAAAAATTCAATTTGACCCGGGCCCGACCCGGACGGGCCGGTTCGCCAAATGTGAGACTCGATCCCGGACCCGCCTTACCCCCCGGGCCTAGACCCGACCCGGACCCGGACCCGAGAATCGGGCCGGTCCTGGTCCCGCACAGTAGCGGGCCGGGCCGGTCCACGGGCCTGGTGGCCCGACCCGAGTCCAACACTACTATCAGTAATCAGCCAACACAATCAGCTAACAGCCAACGACCAACAGTCATTTGCCAAACACCCCCATTATAGTCACTATATCATACGTTGTAGTAACTTTGAACACAATTATATTATAGTCATTAAAAGCTATAAATTCATATTTAATCCATCGCCTTTTCATAAGTAATATTATTGGAATTTTTTCTATATTTAATAAAGTGTATGACACTTTGGTGATTAAAATTTTTCTGTTTAAAAAGGTGAAACGCGGACGGCCGCACCTAGGGATTCCTAGGGTTGCGTGAGGTTAGGCAGATTCTTGAGGCGTTATTTGGCGATTCTTTGTGAGAGAAGTTAGGCGGGCATTTGGATTGCTAAAAGCATGCGGCCGGCGAGTGTGGAGAGAAATATAGCCGCGGCTTCGGTAGTAGGTATATTTTTTTCAAATTTTTATCGAATTTATATTTTTTCAAATTTTTATCGAATTTATATTTTTTTCATCAGGCTTTGTAGCGGTTATAATGTAGTTTATGAATATATAAATTTTATTCACTAAAAATAATCTGAGTGTGAACATGTATCAAGTTGCTTTATCGTCAGTAGAGCATCGTAATCTGAAATGGGAAGTGGTTTCAGGGACGGAGGTAGTATGTGGGACCATTTCGAGAAGATTTGTAGAAGGTGATATTTATGATTGAATGATTTGAAAAAAAATGAAAAAACCTGGAATAATAGGTTATCAACGAATGAAGATAGAGTGCAAAGGTTGGATTATTTCTGAATTACGATAAGGTGAGACTATTACAAAAAGACCGCTAAAAGTTTGGATTATTAGTTTTCATTTTCCCTTAGTTTGTGACTACAAAAAGAAATTGGACTAAGCATGAGCAGAGGAGACCCAATTTGAAGAAGCAATGACAGGTTAAGCAATAGAGAAATGACAGGTATCACATGACCCTTTTCTCTGGACTGCAGAGGTACTTGAAATCACTAATCAAAGCAAGTCATTTTGTTTCATTGATTGCAATACTATTAGTGTATCATAATCAAAAGGCGGAATTTCTTCTACCATTGAGCTTGATGTTGAAAGAATCACTTGGCTAAGAGACTCCATTACCAAACTCTTATGTGATAGTTGGTCTTGCACCAAATTTGAGATGAAAAGGTCATTTTCTGTTATTCATGATGCAAATTCTTTTGGTGATTTCTTCCGCATCAACGAGAAGGGTGGCGACTCTTTATTTCTTTTTGAGGGAAGAAACAGACAAAGGATTAACCTTTTCCTTAATGGGATTATCAGAGCGCTTACTTTGGTCAGTTTGGTGAAAGCAAACGATATAAAAAAACCACCTTTGCTACTTGAACAGACTAGGAAAGAGTTATAACTTTGAGTGGGATTTTGCTACCTTGGATATGGATCTCTCCCTTCAGAATGAGCTCTCAATCTCTGGAACCCTTTTACAAATTGATGTTGACCACTCTTACCAATCTTTGGTGTTGAGTTCTATTGAAGATCTATGTCCTTTGCTTATACCGGGAATTGAGTCATCATTAACACATATTAAGGATTTCTTTCAAACCACTATGTCTCAAGGGGTGGAGCCCCTATCTAATTTTTTAATCAAAGAGTTTGAAAGAATCCTTGCATCCTCTTTCGATAACCGTAACAATTTGGAAAAGAGATCAGCTGATGAAGAGAAAGCTATTGACTGTACTCCTTAGATATCGTACTTTAAAGGGATTCTGGTAACCGGATCAGATTTTTGAAGCTTTTGATTGTGAAGTTTTTGTTGAAAAGGAATACATTGCACACCGAGGAGATGATTTTTTAGGTCATGCATTTGAGAGTGAGAAGAGAACCCCTTATTTCATCGAAGGAGGATCTTTGGGATTCTGATACAAATTATGATATACTACCTCCGTCCCAAAATGAACTTCCCATTTCGGATTACGATGTTTGACCGACGATAAAGCAACTCGATCCCTGATCATACTCAGATTACTTTTAGTAAATAAATTTACATATTGAGAAACTACATTAAAACCGCTACAAAGGCTGATAAAAAAATACTCCCTCCGTCCCGGTCATTTCTTCCGGTTTTGACTTGGCTCGCAAATTTAGATAGTGAGAATAAAGTGGAAATGTATGATTGTAGTTGTGTAAGAAAAAGGTGAATGAATGTGAACCACATATTTTTTCCAAAAGTGGAAGTTGGCAGAATTAATTGGGACGGTCCAAAAAAGGAAAATTGGAAGAAATGACCGGGACGAAGGGAGTATAAATTCGATAAAAATTTGATATATAAAACATAAGATTAAGAGTAATTTAATTAAGTTGACCATGTGAATAGTGACTGTGAAGTTCATTTTGGGACAAAGAGAGTATGCAATAAAGCTTAGTTGGTAACGAGAGATAACTATTTGCCCACAGAGAAGTTGAACACTCAAATTAAGATGCACAGGAAGAAGTATCGGTGGTCGCATGGTATGAGGACAAGATCCCAAACACGTATAGACATGGCCGGCTATAGGGGCAGGATGTCTAGAGAAGTCTTAGACCCCCCCCCCCCCCCCCCCCCCCCCCCCCAAATTTGAGAGGTCTCTAATTTTTAAAATAAATCCATTAATATTAGGGAAATTACCCAAAATAGGATCAAATGACACTTGGAATTCCAAAAATAGGACTAGTATGTTTTTCTTCCCGAAATATGAGTTATTACCGTCATGATTGAAAAATACTGTCATGATTGAAAAATACTGTCATTAATTATAATAAATATTGTCATTTTAAATGCACTGTATTGCAACTATTTGGCAGTCACGGCTACAACATGACAGTAATTACTGTCATGTTAGTCCCATTTCGGGAATAAAAATAAATTAGTCTTATTTTGGAATTTCAAACTTCATTTACTCCTATTTTGGGAAATCTCTCTTAATATTATACTCCCTCCGTCCCTATATAAAAGTATCCATTCGTTTTCCACACATTTTAAGAAAGTGAGATTGATTGGTACTGTTTGGCACTGTTTTGCACTGTTTTGTTTGCCAAAAACGGAAAGAGAACTTTTATTTAGGGACGACCCGAAAAGGAAACAGATGCTTTTATTTAGGGACGGAGGGAGTATATGTGTATTTTAATCTAGAAAATCTGTAGACATGGAAATATGAAGGTCGAAGTTCAAAACTGAGAGTCGGGCAGATGCGTGAGTGGATGACTTACCATTACCATTCTTTTAGTAATCCATTAGTCCCTTCCCCCCTTGGCCCCTTCGGCAATCTCCAGACCCCAATTCGCACAACAGGTCAACAGGTAATAGCACCGCATGGTTTATGACTTTTACTAATTTTACTAATCGAATAATTGATTTGGTTGATTTGTAGAATTTTCAGATTGCTTTTGATATTTTATTAGGTATACAACGTACGAAGTATATTATAAAGCAACTTGATATATTTGAAATTGTAAATTGCGATTTTGATTGATTGACATATTGAGGTCCTGATTTTGTATAAATCAACTAACTTTGTTGAAATTTATGAAATTTTAGTTGAAGTGAATAGACGGACTGATTTTGCTGAATAATGAAAAAATAATATGTAAAATATATTTTATTAATAAAATAAATAAAATTGTGTGAAAAAATAGCTAAATGGTGAAAATATTATTACTCAAATAAGCGCACGAAATCAAAAGTTATGTATTTAGTGAAAAAATTGATTGATAAGATGAAAAATAGGGTGACCAAAAGAGCTCTCAGTACTTATAAACTATTATATGCGATTGGATTTGTATTTATGAACCATATACTTATTTAGTACTATTTTCAATTATATAATAGATTTTGTGATGAAAGGAAAACAAAAACATGATTCTGGACGTAGAAAGTGAAGAACAAATTAGAAAGGATTTGGTCATAAAATCGCTTATTGGCTCTATCAGAAAGAATATTCTCATTATGTTAATAGTATATGATGCATAATTTACATCAATTTAATTGATATTCTACTTTTTATAGTATTATATTGAAGAAAACATATTTAAACAAAATATCTATATAAGTGTGTAGGGTCTCACAATTGCTCTAGACGGCCCTGCATATGGACTATAGAGTATTGACTTCTTGACTAAATCTTAGGACTTCAGGGAGCTGATCAGGTGAGAAGTACCATTAGACTGAGAATTGCGAAGTTTAACTTATAGATTAAAAATTTGAACTTTTAACTAATAAATCATAACTTATAGACCCCCTTGAAAGTAATTACGAAAATGCCACCGAATACATTTACTCCAGAAACCTTCAATTTTTTTGACGAGGTGGCATTTCCGTAATTATGATGCAGAGCTTTATAAGTTATGATTGTTTGGTTATAAGTTCCTATATTCAGTCTATAAGTTTATTGCGTTGTAAGATTAGATGCAAATACAATGGTTGAGATTACTTCTCACTTCTCATTTTAAGGAGGACTTCTCACCTGATCTTTTCTCTATATACTCCCTTCGTCCCTTAATGTTTGTCACACTTTCCCGAAATGGATGTCCCAAAATGTTTGTCTTACTTTTTCAACTTCCTTATTTGGTAAACAAATCTATATCAACCAGTGTCAAACAGTGCAAAACAGTGTCAAACAGTGCCAAATAGTGTCACTACAGTGTAAAATCAAATTCATCTTCTTAAAACTTGTGAAGTCAAACTATGACAAACTTTGAGGGACCGAGGGAGTATCTACTTTGGGTTGGGCTATTGTCTCCTTTTCTGTCCTTTTTTCATTGCGCAAAAAAAAAAGACTACAAAACGAAATATATTTTCTTTAATGCATGTCACTTCAAAACCCTAATGAAGTCTAAGCGAGACTAAATCTGTTCAGGTGTTATGTCATATACTCGTTTATAATACCTCCAAGTTCTGGAGGAGGATAAGAGATTCCTCTTGTTTTCAAGAGAGTGAGGGCCCATGGCAGCTGCAACACTGCTCAATATAACGCCAAACCCTACGAACTTTGTTCTTCCGCACTTGTGTTTGCTGCTATCTTCCAAGAGAATGCCGACAAACATATACGTTGGATTGAATAAACACTACATACTACTACAGTACTACCCATGTACTTCAATACAGTGGCGGAATTAGAGAAAAAAATAACCAGGGACATTAAATCATCACATTAATAATAAAATTGTCTTAACAAATTACACCAATAAAACATATCAAATTTAATCAAAATGGTTAACGTAATGGTGCTAAATCCAACTTACGGGTCCTCATGTTCTGAAAATATTGGATAATAACCTCATTATCGATGCGTCTAAACACATCTCTTTTTGCGTAGCAGACTACACAATCAGAAACATTTGAAGAACTAGCATCCAAACTTATTGGTGTTTTTTTCGGGGAAAATACTTCTCAATTGACATCTCCTAATGACAAATATCGAAACAACAAATAATTAAATTCAAGTCGAACTATTAATTTATTATAAATACTTCATTAATACAAACAATACATTAACACAAAAAATTACAATAACACATCACCGTTATATTTAATTCAATCTATTTTACACAATTACACTACATATTTTTCAAATCATAACTATGAATTTAAAAAATCAATAGTGAAATACCAAATTTTATTTACTTTAAAAGTGAAAAAATAGGAAGTCGGAACATACAAAATCGTGAAATCGGCAACTGGCGGCTCGACGACTGGTGGAGTGGAGACTGGCGGCGGCGGCAGCGCGTCGCCTGTGACCGGTGGGGCCGGCGGCTGGAGAGCTGGTCTGCTGGTTGCTGCAGTCTGCTTGCGCGGAGTTGTGCCTTGGCCTTGCTTCACTTCTTCGGCTCTTCGGTGCAGTGGATTACGGGAATTGGGAAAGGGTTTTGGTTTGGACTTTGGGCTGCAGGCGGCTGGGCTGGGCCAAGCCCGATTGGCCCTAATTTTTTTCCCCAATCCGAAACAAAACGACGTCGTTTTGTTTAATGAAAAAAACTCCGTCTTCCTCAACCCCTTCGACGAACGGCTCTATCTTCCTCAACCCCTGCTCGCCGGAATTGTTCAACGGAGATCTCCGATGGCCCCATACCCCTATATATATACCCTAGCTCGGCGGCCGAAGCAGGGGCATTGGCCCCCTTGCCCCCCGGAAGTTCCGCCCCTGTGTACATAGACATACCTATATATCTATGTATACACATAGTATACGATAATATATTGCGGTCTCATTTTTGATAACTTTGATTTATGTAAAAAAGAAAAGTAAAAAGTAAAAACTAGGGATTGAGTATTTGAATTTTTGCGGATGAGAGATAAATGAGAAAAATCACAAATTAGTTATTTTGTTAAGATCTGGAATTCCATCCTCAAACGTCAACCTTATAAGATGATAAGTCCAATTCTTAATATAGCGTTTAATTGTTTAAGAGATATCTAATGTGAATAAAAATTCGGTGCGGCGGCCAAGAACCCTAGCGGCAAACTTGTGCGGCGGATTTGAGCGGTTCTCCTAGGAGGGTTCAGATCATCAAAGGCGACGACGCTCGTAGGAGATTAGGCCAGGTTACTCTTGCTTTGCTTTCTTGTCTTCGAAAGTATGTGTTCTTGTTCCGAGCGTCTGTCCTGAGTTTTGATTCCGGCTTTAGTTGGCCGAGGCTGTAGTGTTTTGTTTGTGTTCTGTTAACGGCTGAGGGTGCACCTCCTTGCTGCTGATTGAACTCTTCGCAGTGGGTTTCAATTGATGGCTTTCAATTGAGTTTTGCATTTGCAGTCGGTGTTTTCTCCTTTGTTTGTGTTTGTGGTTTCGGTTTGTGTGGTTATGCAAATTATTACGAAGAATGTTAGCATGATTTCAATTGCTGAGGAGGAAAATAGGGGGTTGGTGCTCGCAGCTGATCCGATTGAAAATGTTGATGCGACTAAAGAGAGAACCTGTCCAGCTAGTGGCTGTTGCCAGAGTGGTTTCGGACAAACCCATTCGTGTTGTTTCTTTCTTCCAAACAATGGCTATGGTTTGGTGACCAGTAAGGGGTCTCAATTGATGAGATTGGGGATTCCAAATTCCTCTTACAGTTTTATCATGAAGGCGACCTGAGCAGGGTTGTGGATGAAGGACCTTAGTAATTTGAGAAAAATCTTGTTATCATCAAACGGGTGGGGCTACTGATAGACCACTTGAGATTCCACTACATGACGGCAAGAGCAGCGCGCGGAATAGCCTCAGTGTCAGATCGTTTGTGCAAGTGGACGAGAGGTCTCTTGGTGGAAAACAGAGCTTGGTCCTGCGTATAAGAGTCACTGTGAATATTACTACTATGGCCTTGACTAGGCATTTATAGGTCAGGCAGGAGGGGGGACAACTGGATCTGGGCAGACTTTCGTTATGAGAGACTCCCAAATTTTTGTTTTTTGTGTGGGATTCTTGGTCATGCTGATCGCTTCTGTCCCTCTAATCCGCATAGCGGCTCATGGATCGGGGAGAAGCCTTATGGGGCATGACCACATGCTGATACGAGGCGAGGGGGATCGCACCCGGGCAATAGGTGGCTTATTCCTAGCTACAACAAGCTAGGTGATAGGAGAGATGAGGGGGGAAAATACGATAAAGCGACAAACGAACAAGAGAGCTATTTTGTGGAAGGACTCCTATCAAAGGGAAAGGAAATAGCTGCAACGCAGGAAGCACCAAAAAAGCGCAGGGTCACTGAAAAGGGTAGAGAGGAGGGGACACAGGCAAGTATGGATGTGGAGGAAGCAACTCCAAAAAACTTGGAAGTGGCGGTGTTGGCTGGGTAGCACCGCCAGTAGCGGATGAATTCGAGAATAAGCAGGAGGAATCTTTAGCGGAGGCTGGTCAAACTGCTCTTTCCTTGCCAGTGGCTCGGAAAACTGGATTATGTTTTTTCTTTGATTTGTTGTTATCTCAGAACTCTTTTGTGTTTTTTGTGTTTCATTTTAGTAGGAGGTGCATCATCGCTGCGAATGGAGTCTATACACTTCGTCTAGATCTTGTCGTCATTCATTTTTACATCGGTTCGTCATTTTCTTTTTTATTTAATTGTGTCATCAGTTTTCATATGCGACCCACACCATGGATCAATTTGGCTCTTATACTATGTTAAGGATTTGGGGTTTATCCTAAAAGGTCAACCTGATAGGAAGAGGAGGAGTCCAGTTCTTAATATAGCGTTTAATTGTTTAAGAGATATCTGGTGTTGGACAACAACATGTTTTAATGAAAAAATGGCAAAGTCTTTGTAACCATAAAAAGAAAATTGACAAAATCAAATCAGCCAAATGATATATATGTTGTTAAAGTATTTGTTCCACGCGAGATTGCTATAATAAAACACGCATATATGCTTATACATACACACACATTTATAAAGTATTGAAACAAGGATGTAAAAAGAGTTTTAATCTGTAATTTAAAAATAAAGTTATGATCATCAACTAGCTAGTTTCTCCATTTCCCTCACCTACCATATTCAAGAAACACTCTAAAACTTTACTCCGTTTGATATCTGCAAGTATTTAAGCTAAAGAAACCGCTTGTTATCGATTTATTTTGCGAGAGAAAACATGAGAAAAAAGACTATGATGATCAACTAGCTAATTTACATTTTCTCAGTCAACAGTTCGGTCGATGTTTAGGGACTTCAAGAACTAGGCATGGGTGTCATCCTTTTTTTGAGAAATGAAAATAGGCATTAGGCTCGACTCCTTAAGCTCACAACGGGTCCATCTCTTCTCAATCTAGCTTACCATCCATCTTGTTATTTTGTACCAGAGTACCTTTTTAAAATTTCACTTTCTTTTACCATCTTTGCTATCCTTTCAGATTTCAGTTTTGCTAGGTGTACACAAGATGTGTACACAAAATGTGTACACTTGTCTGTCCCCCGCAGACAAGTTGTCTGTCCACAGACAACTCTACAAGGTTGTCTAGTACATTTTAGCATTTTGTTGTGTAGGATGATGACAATGACCAAGTGGATGTTCCCAATGAGCACAAGGATCCAATATCGCGCTTGCTGGAAATGACAAAACACCTTGATGGACAGCCTCTGCAGTTAATTTTAAAAGGAGATGTCATTGGTGTTGTTGACATCTCCCTTTTTCTTAGTTCAGAGGGGATAATGAAGATGTGTTTGGGTAATCAAATTCTCAGTACAAAGGTTATGCAAGTCTGGATAATGTGAGTTGAGATTTATTATATTTTGAATGTCATGATTTGCTTTTATTTATACCCTGTTGTTGGATTAAAAAGGAAAAACTAATCACTCAAACTTCAAAAATTTCAAGTTAATTCTTTTTCCCTTTTGGTATTGATAAATATATAAATGTATAGCTGGTTGCAGAAACAAAGTAAATAAGGAAGTACAAGAAACTAGAAACAAGGAAATAGAAACAAACAATATAATTAATGGCTCCTTACAGGTTCAATAGGGCTTTTTGTAAAGAAATTATTACCAAGAGAATGATCAAAATGTGTCTATAGCAAGTAGATCCCTGCAGTTCACTGGTTCTATGTAATCTTCTGGGGTCATCACTTTTCAAACTCCATGTTATTTTTAAATTACATGCAGGTACTCTCACAAATTGTGTACTAAAAAGAACAAAAGACACTTGTATGGATTCTTTGACCCTCACACCATTCAAGATGTGGGAAACAAGTGTTATGAAATCCAAACCTACATATTAACTCACCTCAAGGACAACAAGGACTGCTATCTAGTTCCATATTACTATCCGCAAGTACAAGCTTATGATTAAACTTAAGTAATATCTAAATAATCATCACAAAATGCTTCAATTTCAATAACCACTCGAAGCTATTTGTATTGTTCCCTAAGCAAAACCTTATTGTGTTCTTGTGCTCCTTGGGGAATAAGCCAAAGACAAATGTGAAGAGTGTTTTTGATATGTAAGGATATAATTTTGTTATATCAAATGTGTACTTTTGATTAAGCCAATTCTTGTTTCTATAGTGATGGATAGTCTACCCGGGGGTATATATCCGAAGGGTTATTACGGGGAATAACTTAGAGAGAAGTCAGAGCAAGTAAATAAAAGTAGAGAGAGAGTGTATTCAGTATGAGTGCCCTTTTCAGCGTGGTTACAAATGAGGAAATGGGGTGCTATTTATAGTAGCAATAAATGCCGGGCAGGGACACGTGTCAAGCGCTCATTGGCCGAGGGGTCACCTCAACTGGTTGGCGCTGGCAGCCGCATGTGGCCGCATTTAATGCGGCTGTTGGATGGGACGTCTATGCGGGGTACGGTGATCTGTGCGCATGTGAGGCGGATATCTTGTCGAGTGAGATGCTTTCGGCTATAGAGCAGTAGCCGAGGGCTCTTCCACCCGATGGCACCCTGGTGCCGAGGGCTCACAATGCCGAGGGCTACTGTTTTCGCCGTTTTCTCCCAGTTTCTTAATTTGCTTGAGAAACCCGTTCTGTGAGAATTTGGAGCCTTCGGCCAGGGGGCCGAAGGCACCCCTGGCGCGTAGTGCGGACTGCTTGGTACTCTGGGCGCTGTGATTTGGGCCTGTTGGGCCTTTTGGGCCTTCGCTGGAGTAGTAGGAGTCTGTGGGCCGGGGGTTCCCGGGCCATATACTCCATCAGGAGTCCCTCACTCCTTTTGCCGAAAGGTACTTGAGGGAAAAGGAGTAATTTGTGCTTGCCCCTTGATGTTGTCTCGTCGTGATCTCTGAAGTTGGTGAGGAGTTGTTGCTTTTATGTCCCTGCCGAAGGCAGTCCCTCAGTTACCCACATGTCGGGACTTGAGGGCTTGCTCTGTTGTTTGTTGGAATTTCTACATCTTTTGTAATTTAATGATTTTCCCGAGGGGGTCCTCCAGTCCCCCACTCCTTGAGGCACTTGTAAAGTGGTGAAAAGGAGTAGAGTAGTTGCGTTGCTGTTGTGGGCCGAAGGCTGACGCTTTTCGTTTCATTTTGGGGGGATGCCTCGTTAAAAACCTCATTAGGAAAAACCCTGGGGGAAAAAATCCTAATGAGGGAAAAAGAGTGCACCGAATTCCCCCAATGATGAATCGAAAATGTCAAACCTTGGTCAAAAATGGAGAATACGGTAATGCCGAAGGCTCTTCTTTTCCTGAGGGCTCATGTATTGATCAGCCGAAGGCTTGCTGTTGATATCCTGGGGGTGCCGAAGGGGAGCCCCCAATCCGGGGATCGAGGGCCTGCTGGATGAGGGCAGTAATTTAACTGTCACCGGGGGGTCCACTGTTTGTTGATTAGTTGGTGATGAAGATACCCGAGGGCTCCCATTACCTGTGTGCCACGGGTTATCCGTCAATGAGGTAACTCCCCGGGGGCTACCCGGTTTTGCAGCGCTGAGGGGGAATCCCCGAGGGGTGCCCTGATATGAAGCCCTGGGTTTCTGAGGGAGTGATCCCGAAGGCGTCTGTTATGTGCTGTGTGGGGCACAACCCGGGGGCACTTCTGAGTGAGTGTACCCGGAGGCTATCCTTGATGAAGTGGAGTGAAGTAGAAAACCCGGGGGCTTCCAGAATATAGCCGTTGGAAATATAGCCGTTGGAATATGTAAGGACAGGCTATAGCCGTTGGCACACGTGGCGTGTGATGGCTGGCTGTTCGCGGGCGGCGTCACTGGTTGGGTGAAACGACGGTGTGTAATGATGGCGGTCCGTCCAGAGGCCCGGTTTCCGGGCCCAAGCCCGGATTCCAGCGCCTATAAATACCCCAAGGCCAGAGCCATTTCCCCTTGTGCGATCATTTGTCTTAGCGAAGCTCTGCCCAAAATTCTAGTGAGAGAAACTCAGGCCTTCGGTCACAACTTCTGCTTTCAAGGTCAGTGCCCGCTTTCCCTTCACCTCTTAGCTACCTGTACTGTGCCCTTAGGTTAGGAGATAGAAAATTTAGAAAAAACTAGCGTCTACGAGCCTTCGAACTAGAGTCAGCATGTCGTCCCAGAGTGATTCCCAGGATATCTCGGGGGAGCCTTCGATAGAGATGGAGACATGCTCAGATGTGGAGTCTTCGAGTGTGGAGTCCTCGGCAGGTGGTGATGCCGCAGTGGCCATGGACGTGGAGAAGGACCTCCAGGCCGAAGTCGAAGCCGAGGGCTTCGAGCAAGAAAACGAGGATGAAGAGCTTACCCTCGCCGTGCAAACCGCCGAGCAGGAAGAGGAGAGGGAGAGGCTGAAGGTGACGGTTGCCATTCCTCCCCCCCCGGGGTGCCGGGGAAGCCAGCTCCTCCCGGCCATTGGACCCGACGCCCATAAGTGTGGCTCCCGGGAAGAAACACAAGACGAAGGCGGCCCCGAGGAAGAAGCAAGCGGCAGTGGATGCCGGGCGGCCGGTGGGCATACCCGAGAGCCATTCGTTCTTGAATACTGCCGCTCTAGAGCTGAAGACGAAGGCATCCCCGGCAGAATACCAGTCCACCCAGATGCTGGTTGGACCTTCAGCGCGCGTGGTGGAGCCCAGGGCGGATGATTTGCTGCGATACGCGCCCGAGGGGTGCTTTGCTGCTCACACCCTCTCGGTGGAGATGGGGCTCCGATTCCCGCTCCATCCTTTTCTCTTGGAGTATCTGAGATTTGTGGGCTTGGCCCCTTGCCAGCTAACGCCCAACAGCCACTCCTATGTGGCCGGCTTCCTCTCCTTGTGTCAGAGCCGGGGGGTCGAGCCCACACTCGATCAATTCTTCATGTCCTTCAACCTTTGCCGGGGGGACATTCAAATGCTGAGGGCTTTGCCAACCTTCAGCAGGTACCGGAGTTCCGGCTTTTTGATGATGTGCCCTCGTCTCACAAGGGGTGGAAAGAGAGGTTCTGCTATATCCGCCTCGAGGAGAATCCCTTCCCGGCCCAGCTCCGTAATAGCTTCCGGCGCCACCCGAAGGTGGGGAGCGCAGCTTTGGAGAAGAATGGCAAAGTGCTTGCCAAGAAGCCGGAGGGGTCTGACAAGCATGTCAAGATCAGAGAAGTCACCCTTCCGGAGGATTTGCTTAGCCTGGGCTTCCGGCAGTTCAGGCCGAGGGGCTCTTCGGATGAGAGATACCCTCCCCTCGATAGGGTCTTCGAAGGCGCCAGAGGTGATCACCGAATTGTTCACTGATGCGTTGATAGTTCTCTCTTATTCCGCTTTTTTTATGACGTAGTAACTGGTAGCCTTCGATCTAACCCTCCTGTTTTTTTTGTTGCTTGCAGGTAACAATATGGACGTTGGTTCCCTCTTCGCTTTGAAAAACGCGAAAGGAAAGAAGAAGGCCCCGGCGGGCGCTTCTGCCAGGGAGGGGCCCTCTCAAACTGCTGGCGCTGCTGCTGGCGCCGGAGGGTCCAAGGGTGCTGGGCCCGTCAAAAAGAAGATTGCTGGAAAGGGGACCGAGCCCCCGGCCAAGAAGCCGAAGACCACCGCCCCTACCAAACAACCGATCACCGATGTGGTGGTGATTGTGGACGAAGGGCACGCTTCTGCCTCCACCCCCCAGGAACAAATCAATCAGGAGTTCTTTGGGCGGGAGAGGTTGGAGGCGATAGTACCGAAGGGGGCCTCCATGTTGGAGGGCAGTTTGAACCCTTCGGCTCTGATGAGCCAGATGCTGCCGTCGGCCGACCGATTAGCCCTTGCCCGGCTGGACGAGGGATCCCTCGAGGCGAAGGTCCTCCTGAATGCTGCCTCCGTAAGTCACCCTCCCTTCTTTGCTCATTGTTATGTTTTCCTTCTGTACTATGTTCATTATGCCTTATTCTTGCCTTCGTGAATTGCAGGCTTTTATGGGCCTCTGCGAGCACCTCCGAAGGGTGGATCAAATGAGGGAGGCCAAGGGTGCCGCCGAGGGGGAGGCCGCCCTTCTCAGGAAGAAGCTTGCTGAAGCCGAGGACTCTCTCCGGCTGGCCACCGACGGCATGGAGCAGAGGGTGCAGGCTGCAAGGGCCGAAGGGGTCAATGAGGGGCTAGCCAGGGCCGGGGAGGCCGCCGCCGAGGCCGCCCGTATTGCTGCCGATGAAGCCCGCGCGGCTCAAGAAGAGGCCGTCTCCAAGGCCCGAGAGGATGCGGTGACCAGCTTCATGGCCGAAGGGTGGAAGGCCGAAGACCGGAGGGAGTGGCTCGCTTCGGTGGTGGGGGCTTCAGTAGACGAGTGGGTCGGGGGCCCCGGAAAGATGTGGCTTGCTGAGAGGGGCGACTCGTACTACCAAGGCGGGGAG